TAATTTGGCTCTTGAGCCTGAAGAAAAACAGTGATTAGCTCGTGGTCATCCATGGGTGGCTTAACTCTAGCTGCTTGTTCTCTCCATTTAATGGCATATTCCCTGAAACTTTCAGTTGGTTTCTTCTTCAGGTTTGAAAGGGAATTGCGGTTTGGGGCAATGTCAGTGTTGTATTAGAACTGTTTGACAAAGGCCTGTGTCATGTCATCCCAGACATACCAACGAGATGTGTCTTGATCCATAAACCATTCAGATGCTACTCCTGTAAGGCTTTCCCCAAAATAAGCTATTAACAATTCTTCATTTCTTCCCGCACCTCTTAGTTGATTGCAATACTTTTTTAGGTGGGCTATGGGGTCTCCATGTCCATCATACTTTTCAAATTTGAGAGTCTTGAAACCAGGCGGCAACTGGACATCATGGAACATACATAGATCTTTGAAGGCAATACTCTTCTGACCTGCCAACCCTTGCATGTTTTTCAACCGTTGCTCTAAGCTTTTCACTCTTTGGGTCATTTCTTCATGTGTCATCTTTCGGGCAGGCTTCTCAATGTTTGCAGGAAGATCAAACGAGTACGAGTGGTACTCAGGAGAGTGGTACTACTCTTGCTGGGTAGCAATTATGACTCATGACGAGGTTGTCCTTGACCATTGGCCCATGCTTGACACATTTCGGTCATTTGCTGTTTCAGTATTCTATTTTTGCTCAAACACAGTAGACTCTTGTTGAAATCTCTGACCCTGAGTCTCTTGAGCACTTGTAACAGCTTTGATGTCAGTTATCATTCTTCCTTGGATCTTGTGTTTCCATCTTACCACAAGCCGACCACCTCAACTTTCTTCACAATTCAAAACAAAACATGTTAGAATGGACTCACTCGGTCCTTATTATTATCAATATTTTTTTCAATTTTTCCTTTTTTTTCTTTTTAATGGTGATCGAACCTGATGTGGGTTGCCTACGTATCATGTGGAAACATGAATCAGATCTTGCGTAGTTCGGGAAGATTAGGAATAAAGGAAATAAACTAAATTTATGTTTTCTGGATTTCGAATTTTCTTTTCTTTTTCACTTTTTTTTTTCAAAAGAAAGACTTATAAAGAAGAAAGAGAATATTTTTGGATTTTGATTTTTCTTCAGCATTTTTGCAAAGAAAAACTTCTAAA